GTATAGGCATTGAAACTAGTAAAGAAGAAAATGAAAATGAAGAGATTTTTATTTATTTTTTGTGCATTTGTTTGTTTGTTTGTTGTGTCTCCTGCTAATTCACTATCAGATTGTTATGTCACTGCAAATGTGCAATCAATTAATGTGTTAAGTGATGTGTTTTATTTTTATTGTTATTAGGAAAGTCCACTGTCAGTTTTCACATCTGTCTTGAGCTGACAAAGTGTAGTATTTGGTAGTAATTGGCATGAATATTTTTGGTATTATGTGTAGTATTTCTAAAACAAATTTGTGGAACTATCAGTTTATTTTCCTCACTGCTTTTTGTGTTGTGTAACTGCTCTCAGTGGAATTCACTGTTTATTTACCTTTTTTTTTTGCCTGTCCCATTTGGATCTTTAGCCATCAGAATTGCTGTCTGAAGGCCAAGAAAGATGCCAAGGGGATTTACTTTACCAAGTGGATCATCATGGCCTTGCCATATTGGTGCATATGATTGACCTTTATTATAATTATGTATTTATTTGATTTTCGGTTGTTACAAACGGGCAGACATGACTGGGGGACAGGACAGGGAGAAAGAATCAAATAAAGAGAGGGAGAGAAAGAAAAATAGAGGGGAGAAGAGATGGTGAGAAAGGTGGGACGAAAAAAAAGAAAAACAAACAAAACACCTGGATCACCTGTATGGAAATAAAAAAAAGAGCAACATAATAAATACAACACCATCACAATAAACTAGCTAACAGTAGATACCAAATATTACATGCTATTGTGCATCACGCAAGATCAACAGCGCACAATGTTCTTTGAGGTAGCAGCCAAGAAAGGTGTAGTTTGTGTCTGTGAACACCTGTGTGTACACCTGTGTGGATCAGCATGCTTGTATTCAAAAGGTTTCTCCATGTAACAATCTGCTAGGGAGTGTGGGGAGCCATAGCCCCGTCCCCCAGGGCAAGAAGCAGGTATGGAGGAGATCCAGGTACCCCCGCCCCCAGAGGGGCAAACTGTACTCGGACCCAGGAGATGTAACCCTTCTCTCTGGGGTGGAGGAAAGCAGACCACCTTGTTGTCTGCAGTAGCAGGGAGGCCCCGCATCCCAGACCCCAATCTGACAGCCAGCACCTCCTCCCAGCCCCGACGGTTAACAGAACGGTGAAGACCCCAAACCTCCCTCTGCCTGCTCATATGTAGTGTTACTGCGTGCTGTTCTAAAGTGCATTTAAAACCCAGGAGGGCATGGTGCTTCCTGCCAGAGAGCAGCACAGTTCCTCCCGAAAAAGCTGTAGCTTTAGATAGGTTCATGCTAAAAGACAAAGCTGTTCCATCTATAAAGGGAAATGTTAAAGAGTTGGAACTGCAAGCTGCAAGTAACATTTCACTGAAATCTTTGTACTTCATTAGACAAAATGGTTTTCTGTGAAGGGAATGCTTGTATTGTGTTCTTTATAATTCTTTGAAGTATTTAAATTAGTTTATGTTTTTACAAGACTATTTTAGAAGTCTGAAATTGATTAATGGTTGCAAGTAACCTCCGGTGGATGAGATCTTCCTTGACTTCCTTAAGGCTTAACATGCTTTGGAGCTGAAAAGAAAAGGAACCAGAGGATAGATTCCAGCTTCAGGAACATCGCACTCCTCAGTCACTCCTCAGAACATCACATGCTGGAAAGTCTATGCCAGCGTACTGGAGATAAGAGTTCTTCCAATAGTCAAACTTTGGATCCAGGAAAAACAATGCGATTTTCATTCTGGTCCTGGAATGCTGGACCAGCTCATTATCCCTTTAAGAATATTCAAGGATTCGTGATAGCTTGCCAGCTAGTCTACATGTGATTTATGGACCTGGAGTATGTTCCTTTGGGTGTGGTTGTGATTATTTGGGTTCACTGAGCAATAACCTCCAGTTTGCACTGGGAAATATGCAACTCCCCAGTGACTGGGATGAGAATTAACATCTTCGAGTCCTGTTTTTCAGCTGGAAAAAAGTGGAGTGCTCACTTTGGGTTGTGAACAATTTGCTGCTACAGGTGTTGGAGGTTAGGCATAGCACCTGCAGTCATGGGGATGCTGTACAAGTCTGCTGTGATGAAGAGACAGCTAAGTGTGAAAGCAAAGCTGCCAGTTTACCAGTAAGTAGTAGTGCAACAATATCTCACGGTTCGGATCGGATCACGGTTTTAAGTCACGGATCGGATCAATTTTTGGATCAGCAAAAAAAGAAAAAATTTTAACATTTACCTATTAACTTATTTAAGTATTTTTTGCCTATTAAAGACATTCAACTCAAGACTCATTCCACGCAATTATATAAAAACAAATTAAGGGCAATATAGGGCAGTACAGGGCTTTGTATCTACCACTCCGCTGTGATATAATGAGCTGTCATGGTCACGTAGCTTTCAGTTGACCTGGAGGTCCACCCATTTGTAGTTGGGCAACAGAAGATGCCTGGGACAGTTCAGCCACAACTTTAAACTTTTCCTGCTCATACATGCTGGATGTGCAATGGGATATCATAGCGTGGCTCAAGCACATTCATCATAGTTTAAACCCCTTGTTTTGCACAACGGAATACGGCCTCCCGTCTGCAGCTAAACACCCCAGTAGCTTTTGTAATAGCTTTAGCCCGGTCGGACTGGGCAGCAAAGGGCTGTTTAAATGCCGCAAACTCCTCTGCTCCTCCACTTGGACCACCAGCGCCGGCCATAACTATCACTTGACAGACTTTTCTTTTTCTTCTTTTTCGAATCTTCGGATCACGTGCGTGCCAAACCGTGGAGTAGGATCGGTTCAGATTACAGATCAACTGTGATCCGTTGCACCACTACCAGTAAGTCTACACTCTGACCCTCATCAAAGCCAGTTTAGCTGGTTCTGCATTTTACTGGGATGCCCCCTGAAAGGCAAAGTTTTCCAAGTACATTCTACCAAGAGGAGGCCACAGGACAACCCAGAGCACACTGGAGAGTCTACATCTCTGGCTGACTTGCAAACACCTTGGAGGTCTAGGTGTCTCTGCTGACCCATACCCAGATAAGTGATGGATGGATGGATGGATGGATGGATAAACGTGACTAATAGTGATGTGAAATTTACTTCATTGGTGAAGTTTCAAGTGGAAAGAAGTGGAGTCCCAGGATAAATGTATATAGGTGGAAGAAAGCATAAGAGGCTCCCTTCAAAAAGGAGTCAAGACAGTACAATATAAACGCATGTATGAGTGGAGATAAATGCTTTAAACTACTTCCACACAATTTCAAGATGGTTTCTTACTTCAGTTTATGAGATTTACTTCTACTGTTAAGTCATTATGGTGGCAGGCTTCAGTATTATGACTCAAGCCTTACTTTACAGCTTGTGAAAATATATATGTTTTTCCTGTTCTGGGATCATCACTTGCTCATATCCAAATACTGTGGAAATTGTAAATCATCTGATACTTATATATTGCTTTTCTACTCAATTTGAGCACTCAAACTGACTTCCATCACAAGTCTTTTTCATCCAATCGCACACATTCATACAGCACTTCTATTTTCTATTCAAACAGTATCAATATGTGGCAAAAAAAGGAAAAAAAGAAGGATGCATACCAGTATACCAGTCCTTCACATGAACGGAGGACTCAGGGATCAATCCAAGCACCTGAGCTACAGTGTTTAGGTTTCACTTAGGTTTACGTCTCTGATATTTATGTGACCATTTTCATATACTGTTTTTATTTGCTCCTTCAACAGACCAATTTTCTTCTTGGAAATCAATAATGTTTTTCATCCACTAGCTGTGTGTGGAAGCCTGTATCTAATTTCAAGTGTTGGCACGTGAGGCTGCAAAGGGACCACTACTGTCTGCATACACGCTCTACCTCCAGGCTATAGACACACCCTACACTCCATCCAGTGCTCTGCAAGCTGTCGCTATAATCCACTTAGCTCTCCTTTCCATGCTACGACCTGGTCATCCTTCCAGCCCGACCCCCCTTCTCTGCCTCCTTGAGCTTAATAGTGGAGTGACCTCCCTACTCCAGCCAGAACATCCGACTTTTACAAGTTTCTTCTATTAAAGAAATACCTCATATGCCCTCTCTTTCCACTCGATAAATTCTCAAGGCTTTTCTATTTTTGTGGACTAACGTCCCCTTTTTCCACAAGATTCTGCCTTACTTTATAGTTTTTAATTGTTTAACTCTTTGATTTCTTTCCAATGATTTTAGACCAAAATAACACTCATCTATAATTGACTGAGACAGGACTCTTCCAGACACTAAACCAAGGCACAATGTACATTTCAATTCCTTTAATTTTAAATATGTTTATATCGTCTATCCTGTAAAATAGTCAGATGTCTATTCATATTAATGTACAGAATTCACCTGCTTGCTGCTACTACTGCACATTCACCCAATGTATATACTATACATACATATATATATATATATATATATATATATATATAATGTTCTTCCTCTACTGCCCCCCCAATTTTTTTGCACATGTCGAGGAGCGTGTCAGGCTACATTTCACTGTGTGTTATACTTGTATAACTATGCATGTGACAAATAAAGAACCTTGAACCTTTTGACCCCAATAGAATTACTATCAGTATCACTTTTGTGAATTTTGGATGCATTTTCTCTGCTCCACATATTACATGTCACTGCAGGTAAGACCATCTGCTATATGTATAAAATGTAAAAATGGAAACGCAACGTGTGCCAGATCTACATGACAGCCAGCGCATGAGGTAGCTGGCTCATCACCGCGTTCATATCCTGACACTCTGCTGGGACGGTGACAGCAAAGTCAACGTGGGTGAGCTGTAATCGGTACTGAATAGGATATACTCTTGTGACTCAGGCGACAGGGAGATGCACAGATTCAAAGCAAAACAAACATATCAACATACAAGCTAAGACTTTGATATTTTCTAGAGGGACAAAAAACTAGAACACATTCAAACACTCAAAAATTATGAAACCTCTCAGTGTGGTCTTGTACCTGATGGTGAAAGAGTGCCGTGGTGTGAGGCCAGGGTGACAACCAAGCACTGGTTGGGATGAAAGGTCAGCAGACAGAGTGATTCCAGAGCCCTCGAGGACCAGGGCGATGTGGTCGGGCAGCAGCTCGGGGGTCTCAGAGGCAAAGGTGATGAAGAGAAGCTGGCCATAGCTGTAGACTTTGTGACCCAGGAATTTCACTAGAGTGGTAAGGGCAGATGTTAGAAAGATGCATGGATGGAGTTTTATTACTGGAGTCTGAGTCAGCTCTGTGCCATCAATGTAGTAAATATAGAGCTAAACTTTTGTGTATAAGCATGGTGTTTTTGGAAGTAGGATTAATTGTTTTTGTGCTTTTCAAAGAATCTGCCAGTTCCTTTCACTTTGAGTTGATGTGTGTGTTCATGAGGGCAGTGGAGTACAAGCTTTTTGAGATCACGTGGAGCACTGCAGGAATCTGCGTGTAATTACCCACCCTCTAGGCTTTGGCTCCTCATATAACAGGACTTCAAAGCTTTTTAGCTACCACAAGATACCCCCCACTACCGCTACCACCCAAAACTGGCCAAAAGAACATCACACAAGAGTTATACACTTCTGATGTATAAAAATAGGCAAAAATCTTCCACTTCCTCATTATGCAGATTTGAAAAATGTAAAAAGCCCAAGCCATTGTATAGATCCTGTACAGTTTTGCTCTAAAAATGCACAAATTATAACAATTTCTATTTAAAGAAAAAATAAAAAAACAGAAATAAAGCAAGCTGCCGTTCTCTACAATACCTGGATGAGTGAGTGGGCAAAACTGACAGGTTGCACGCTTGATTGCCATCTTGTTTTTGAGCGTAATGGTGTGTGAAGTACATCCTGAACTCTTTTGGGGGTTGAGAGGGCTGTGGACTTGAAAGAATCGTTTTGCTTGCGAGGGGCCTCTGGCGTCACTCAGAACAATTCACCTGTCTTATCATCTAATATCTGCTCAACCAGGAGCTGGCTTTTATTATCTGGGCTGTGCCCTTACATGTGCAGCTTGCCCTCGCTGTGACGTCCACAAGCGTGTTAATCGATGGTTTTTACTTGACCTCTCTCTCACCTGCCTTTTTGCACTGTGACTTGAAGTGTTGCTTTTCACCAGTGCTGCTCGCAATTACCTGACGATTTGTTAAAGTGCCTTGGTTAAGTACTGTTATACACTATTGCTTTAATAAAATGAAGCTTAATTATTATTTCGATTTGGTCTGGACCGTGTTTCTTCTTTTATCACAGTATGCAAATTATCATCAAGTAAATGATGTTTAATAAATGTATAACACAACAGATTCTTATATAGGTAGTCATGCTGTAGCTTCAGCAACTTTTCCAGTGAGACTTTTGTAACTCTAATGTAAGGATTATTTTTTTTCCAACATGAAGTGACAGACTATTATGTCTAATAAGCTGCAAGCTTTCACACATAAGAAACCAAGCTCAAAAACCAAGCCAATGCATCACACTTCCATCACAGTTGCTAACATTTTTTTTTCTTTTTTGCAACAATGCATGAACGAGGGATCGGCACTGTGTTATTGATATGTATTAATCCCTATCAGTAGGATTAGTATTTGTGGGAAATGAAAAACAGGCAGTAATAAAAGGGAGAAGGCTTCAATTACACGACCAATCAATAGCATCAATAGTCTAAGTCTAATAAGGCATCATTCATGTAAACACAAGATCAAAATCAATTGAAACAGGCACAGCGAATCAGAACAAGGATAAGTGGTTTCACAAGCAGCTGCTGAGGACGAAACATTTACTCATTTTGAAATGAGCTGTCGCAGGTCTTAGTGTAATTTCAGAATCAATCGATGTTCCTAACTGTTAAAAAAACAGGTCAAGGTCAAGAAGGAAAAGAGGCTAAGCTAACTCATTGACCAATTAAAGACTAATTCCTTCATAGAGCACCTTCTAAACATCTAAACCATTAGAAAAAATGACCAATATTGCAAGGCCAAGATGTTTAGACCCAAAGACTGAAACACCTCCACATGATGCGGTGATGCAAGGTAAATAATTCAAGTCTGCATTTCACAGCAGTTGATAAACACAATTCTGTTTAAAGCTTTAACACTGATTTATGGATCACATGGGGCAACAGCTAGTTTTATTAGCATTAGTTTGCTGCAGGCTAAAATGCTCCAGCTTTCATTTGGCAGATCATAAAACAGCAAACGACTCCAAATTCAGGACTGTCCATGTGGACTGGAGGTTTGGCAGCAATAAAAATATAGATAGTCAAGCAAGATGTGTAGCTGTCTGGCTTGTCATAATGTGCTCTATATAATGGTGTTGCATTTACTTGGTCAAAACTTCTCTACTGGTATAAATTAATATAGTTTTCTTTTCTAAATTTATTTTATTAAAGATGTAAACACAAAAGATTTTAGTAGAAAACACAAAGGTTATAAAAGAAAGAAATGATCATCTACTAATACACAAATAATGTATCCTAAGACATGCGGCCAAAAAAAGGGAAACATTATTTTGTGTATTTATTTGTATATGTTCAGATGTACAGTCAGTAATTTCTTACCTTTCTATAGGCTTCATGTTTTCAGCTATATTTCTAGTAAACGTTTGCTCATTTATATTTTTAATTAAATACATTTTTAAAAAAACCTTCTACAGATTAAATCAGCATGGACGTGGGGGTGTTAGGACTAAATATATATATTTAGTTTCACATAAATCTGTAACAAAGCATTGTTTAATAGACAGAGCATGTTTATGCATTCAGTGTTGCTCATGCTATGCGGGCACCAACGTTCAAAGTTACAATTTCCCTATAGCTTATATTTTTTCTCATACAGGGTGACATTTTCTACTATCTGAGCTGTTAGTAAAACTAAACAGAAAAAATGATCACAGCATAAACTACATTTTTCAAAACTTGTTTTACTGTTTTAACAATTGCTTTGGCACTTTTTGTCTGACCACTTTTGTTAACCAGTGATGGGTTGTACCTCACCAAAAGCCTCTAATTCATGTGTCAAAATTAAGCTTTTATTTCGTGGAATAAATGGTGGCAATTACCAAAATGACAAGTTTTTTGACATTGTGTAAGCCAGGGTGGGTGACTTTTTTTTTTAGATTAACAATTTGACTAAATGAGAGTGGACTTATTTGTGTCTCTAACGCTGTAGTCCTATTAGTTTTCTACCAAAGAACATTCTGCTATTGTACATCACTGTAAGGGAAAGGGTAAAAGAAAAAAAGGGAGACAGTTACTCAAGGACTCTCAGTAAAAACAAATGACGTTGTTGTGTCAAAGTTGTGTCAGTTGTATACAGTTTGAACATTCTTGGTCATGTATATCCTCTTAGTCAAAATTAATTGTGTTTCTACAAATGAATTAATTAATGTTTTTACCCTCTAAAACATCTGATCATTATTTCATTGTGTGAGTCATCACTTGCATAATAATTAATCTGTCAAAATCTGAGGTAATTGTAAAACATGCTTATAGAAAATAATGGTAACAGAGCTCTGACAATTTCTAAACATGGAGCAGACAAATTTCTCTATTATAGATTTTATTTGTAACGCCTGTTCATAGAGGAGAGAGAAGTGTAACAATTGGATGGGACGGATGTCCCATTCACACCATTTTGACCCTTTTGCAGTGCAAAGGAGAGCATTGGGTGTGGGGTTGATGATAATCTATGGCCAAACTGAGTGGTAAGATTTCCTGTCATTCCTCACACTGTTTTGTTCTAACAGCAGTTTTATTTTTAGCTGCGACCATGACTGATGTTTTACAAATCTTTGACTTAGCTTCATGTGTTCTTGAACAATACCTATGGATGCATTTCAATAAAATGGAACTTTATGTATTATCTCTGCCATCTTCTCTTTGAGATGACATAGATGAACTCTTTTATAAGGTTCTGCCTCGACTGTCAGTCTCTCAAACACTACACAACAAGGACTCAAAAATGTATCACCACCAGCACCAGATCATTGTTGCACTGTAAAAACAGTCCAGGTAGAGCTAATTTATTTTGGAATCAGACAAGTGTTTATTACCAACATTTGGGTAGTGATGCACTGTAATGAGTAATGTAAGAAACTTGTGCTCACCGAACTATTACTTTTGAAATGATTAATAGGAAATACATACTGAACATCCCGTGCATAACTGTGGGTAATGAGCCCAGTAATACTATTGTGTGACTAAGCTAATATTCTCTCCTAAAGTGCTCCCTTATGGTGGTGAGGGCTTCGTTTTCAGATGTAGCTTGTTGGCTATTATTCTGCTGGGGGTTTGATTTACGTCATGTGGTTCCCGGGAGTTCTCTCTCTGTCTGTAAGGAACTGAGGAACCAAGGGATAATTACTCACAATCCTAATAGACCATCGAAGAATAGCCCCACTTGCAGGCCAATCTCCAAAGTAATGAATCACTATAGAAAAAACAATGAAAGGATTATTCATGCGTAAGTGTGATTTGCAGTCTGTGTATTTCCAAGGATTTATATTCATTCATCATCTCACATGAGAAATTGGGGAGGATTTAAAAATGTAACAAATAAGTAAATAGTGCAGCGTGCTGTATTCATGTGCAACTTGCTTTTCTACTTCATGAAAAATTGATTACTCAATCAACTTCAGTCCCAAATAAATCAGCAAGTTACCACTAAAAATAGGTAACAAAGTAAAAAGTTACTTCAGAAAATGGGATAAAAACAAACATACATACATTTATTTTTTTTAAAAAAAGTCTTCCTTCCTCTTTGAAGTTTTAACTCAGCAAAGACTCTTGTAATGTATATATGGGCTTAGTACCTAAATTCACATTATATAGAAAGAAAGAAAGAAAGAAAGAAAGAAAGAAAGAAAGAAAGAAAGAAAGAAAGAAAGAAAGAAAGAAAGAAAGAAAATGGGACATGTAATTTCCAAAACATAAAATAAGGATTGTAAAGTAATCAGGTTTTGGATTTGCCATCAAAAATAACTGGGTGATGTTGTGCTATTCTGTACAGTTCATGATACAAAACATTACTGTATATACAAAAATAGATTTTACCCACTAGTTAGTGAAATCCAGTTTTAAAGCTTTAATTTAGCATTTTAGCTGCTGATATTTTGGAATGCTTTCAACGAACAAGTTATTAAGTAAAATAACAATTTTAAGGCATAAGAAACTCAAGCAAGTTCAATT